CCCCAAAACCCCAAAACCCCAAAACCCCTTAACTACATTAAGAGAAAATATTTTTGGTAGGAAATTTTGTAGTTAATTGAATAATAATTGGATTATATAAGAACTTAAGGTGGGTCTAATCCCATGAATTTTTAAAATGCTACTCTATATCCTCATTCTTGAATATTGTTACTATCAAAAAATATTCTACGAACCTAAGTGGCTGATTTGTTCTATAAAAACTTTTTACTTCTTGAAGACCCGATAGTATCACTTATTTCAGTAATTTCTCTAGTTTATTCTATCTATTCATCTGCATCATAGTCCGAGACATTCCATTCATCAAGCAAATTTTTATCTTTTAGATCATGAATTGAATTCTCAGAGCCTGAAGCATGTGAGACCTAAAGATCTATAACTTGATTATTTTAAGCAACCAACTTTTGCATGTTACTATCATCAATAGCCCTCATAAACTGACTCTTCTTTTTCTAGACTACTAATTCTCTATTTTTTTCCTCCTCTGCAAAATAACTTCTATTTCTTCTCAACTTTTTTTAGCTAGATCTATTAGATTCTTAACTTTTGTTACTAAATTACATCTCTGAGAACTTGGATCTTACTTTCTGAGCTGGTCTCTACGAGGTTGGTCTGTTTCTATGAGCCTATAATAAACTATAGTAATTGACACTCTCTTTAGAGTCTTTTGAGCCATTCCTACTTTGACTTCCAAATCTTGATTTATTTTAAAAGAATGAACTTTAACTTATTAATCCAGAAGTTCCATGATTTCTAAGCTATCTTGAGTTGAAATCCTCAGTTTCATTTTTTGTGATTTCCTTAGTATCTCTGAAGAAGGAAGAATTGATGAAAGATCTTTTCTATAAAGTCATACTGCTAAGTTCTGAATTTATCTTAAGAGCTTCCTGAAGCGCTTCCTTATCTTTTTTAAACCATGGATGATTTAGAGCCTACTTAGCATCCAATCTTTTTGCTGGATTTGGCTCTATCAATTTCATTAGGAGATCTTATCCCTCTGCTGATATCTATTTAATTTAAGAGGGCACATGCCTAATATCGCATTCTTTATTGGCAAGCAGGAGATTGTATTATTAATTGTGAGGAAATAGATACTAACCGGATACTAAGTTAAACATTACTGAGCCCAGGCTAAAAATGTCCGCTTTAACGCTGTAACCTTTATCTCTCAATATCTCGGGTGCTATATAGGTGGGAGTTCCGCACTTATGGTATATAAATTCATTTGGTTATAGTTACTTCGCTAATCCAAAATCAGCTAATCTTATCTCATATACACCCTCTTAATTAGAATTTAGCAGTATATTGTCAAGTTTGATATCTCTATGGATTAAATTCTTTGAATGCATAAAATCTAAACCTAGCAGAAGTTAAGCGATTATTGTTTATAGATCCTTTTCCTATAACTATATATTATCCTTTATTAAGTCAAACAAAGTGCCACCTTCTTGATATTCTACGAGCATATAGATTTTCTTATTACTCTCATAGACTTTTTTGAGTTAAAGAGCGCTCTAGCACTGTCTTAAGGCTCGATGAACACTTATTTCATCTTTCATCAACATAGTGAGTCTTGACAAATCATCGAAAGATCTTTTATTAGTTACTTTGAGAGCGTAAAGTTTGATTTTATCTTTTTTACTTTTAAAATTATTGGATTATAGCTTTTCCACTTTGAATACTTCGGCGTTAGCCCCACTTCCTAAAGCATTCAAAATTTAGTATTGATGAGGTTTGTCGATTCTTACAACGTAATGGTTAAGAAATCTTATCCATATTTTTAATTCGCTTGAATCATTATTATAAACTTAAAATGTAGACTTATTTCTCTAGAGAGTTATCTTCTCTATTTCATCCTTAATTTACGAATGGTTATTGTAGTAGACATTCATATAGCAAAAATCTATATCCAAATACTCATCAGCTCTATATTCTAAGTATGTATTTTCAAGTTCTTTAAAAATTATTAGTTTCCCTTCAAAGAGCCCCATATAAACTACAGTCTCCTTATCAGTTTGATAATTCTTATTGTATGAGAATTTGAGTTCAGAAAATATTTAGCAATCATCTGGGAGTATATCGACGTATTCTGAATTTTTTATAGACTTTAACTCAAATTTACGATCGAACAAGTTATCAAAAACTAACTTTGATTTATCCTAGTGCATCTTGGACCAAACGAAAGCTTATGTAGTAAGTTTTGAAATTATAAATATGTATTATTAACTTAACTTTAGATTAAAATTGAATTATCTATCAGTAAATCTGCTCTTAATATTGAATTTTATCTAAATATCATTCTTTGTTTAATCTGATTCAGTTAATATTTAACGCTTATTGAGCGAAATTTTCACTCTACGGGGTTTTGGGGTTTTGGGGTTTTGGGGTTTTGGGG